ATTTTTGCACATGTCGAGGAGCGTGTCAGGCTACATTTCACTGTGTGTTATACTTGTATAACTATGCATGTGACAAATAAAGAACCTTGAATCTTGTACCTTGGAACGCAGAGAGTGGAATATCTAAACAAACCGGTTAACGTAGCCCCCCCTCCAAAACAAGCAAATACACACAAAATAAACAGTTAAGCTGGAACACCGGGGCTTTGAGCTCAGTGCACTATGTCAGCTGACTGTTAGCAGAGCGAGTGACATCTCTGAAAACATCTGAGCACTGACCAGACATTCGCTGCTAAAACACTTGTTACGATTCGATGTTGTCAGTGTTTTGTTTTAGGCGTGACTGTTATGTGTTTCCTGTTTTACTTTGAAGGTCTGTCTTATCTCAGTGTGTTCAGTTTACGCTTCCTTGTCTCGTCAGTTCTGATTTGCCCCAGCTGTGTTTCCCTCCTGTTGTCCATTCCCTGATTGCTCCCCTATGTATTTAAGCCCTGTGTTTCAGTTTGTCATGTTTGTGATCTCCCCCTGTGTTGTAAATAGTTTGTTGTATATAGATGTAAATAGTTGTCGATACTGTTTTTACTCGGTAGCTGTAGGGGTGAGAAGCCATTTTTCTTTGGGAACCTTTTCTCCTGTTTTTGGTTAGGGAGGCAGGTAAGACACCTGTAATTTTTGTTTGGGGTTTTCTGTGAAGGTAAGCCAGCTGCATTTCATTTCTAGAGTTTTTGTTTGTTGTTTTGGCCATGCTCACCCTGATGCCTGCTACTAGTGATGGCCAAATGAAGCTTTCTAAAGCACTGAAGCTTTTATTGAAAAACGGTTCATTACTTGAAGCTTTTCAACACAGTCCTCTCTGGTGACATCTGGTGGCCAAAAATACAAAGAGCAGCTTGAATCCACAAAATAAAACCAACTGCTTCATTACGATTGCCTGCTCTACAGAGTGGAGTTTTGTCTGATATTGGGCTGCTGTTGTGTTGCTTTGAACGTGTATTTTTTGGTGGTTAAAAAAAAGTGTTTTATTTGTTTATTAAATAGTTTTGACCAGTAAACTCTCCTTGTTTAAACATGCACCATGGTGTGGTCTTCCTTTGCTTGTGACTTCTTGATGTTAGTAAATACAATAATTGAAAAATACCACGAGATAGAGAGATATATGTATGTACAACACATTATGGAGTATGCTTCTGCTCTGAGGTCCTGCCTCCATGCACTTATGCAATTAATCGCTAGACAGGTGTATTTATAAATAATATTATATTAGGGAAATTCCCAGACATATTTTTGACCTGGGGGTAGAATTGATTGTGAAATGGAAAGGAAAAATGCTTATGAACTTGCAAATTAAAAACATGATGCATTTAAGGTAACCCTTTTTCATTTTTATTTAAAAAGAGAATTTGTTCTAATGTGCGATGGCCGAACCTGTTCCTTTTCGTGGAGATCATTTATCCTGCCTTAAGGAAAATCCCTTCACATGGCCCAGAGGAGGCTGGAGCGCAGAGAAACTGGTAGAGATGCAGTTATACAGTCTACCTGGGCCCTACAAACTATCAGCTAAAGAGAATAAATAAATTCAATTGCTGCACATTTGGCAGACTAACATTTTCAGATTAATTAAACAATAAAATATATATTTTTACAACATTACATGTACATGGACATGGACTCTGGCCAAACGAATCAAGCTTCGATACAGTGCTTCTGAAGCAGTGCGTTGATTTTTTTTTTTTGACACACGCACCGGAGCTTCAGCTTCAAGAGGGCCATCACTACCTGCTACCTTTTGGGACTCAATAAACTGACTGGCTGTTGTGAAATCCGTGGTAGCTGTTTTTTGTTTGTTCGTCCTCCTTAAGAGCAGGGAGTGGGGGGGCATTTTTCCTTATTTTTATTTTCCTTATGTTGCACGCCAGTTTTCCCTGGGCTGGGGTGTAACATAAGTGGGGGCTCGTCCATTCGCTGGAGGGTCCGAGGGACCGCTGGAGGGTCTGAGGGACCGCTTCAGCCTTTCGTCTCCGCTGGAGGGTCCGAGGGACCGCTTCAGCCTTCGTCTGTCTTCGCTGGGGGGTCCGAGGGAGGGACCGCTTCAGCCTTCTGTCTGTCTTCGCTGGAGGGTCCATGGGGCCCGTCCGGCCTTCGTCTGTGTGAATCAAACATTTCACTTGGGGGTAAATGTTTGATTTTTGGGTGGGGGGAAATGTTACGATTCGATGTTGTCAGTGTTTTGTTTTAGGCGTGACTGTTATTCTAACTCGCCAATTTTAGTCTTCTATGGTATTCTGTAAGATCTGCCATTAGTGGAGCGCGAGTGCGTCCTCCAGCATCTCTACTTGGAACAAATGTAAGGCCCTTGTCTAAGAGTTGTAGTTGTTCTCGGCTAGGTGCGAAAATGGTAGAAAGGTTAACTACAATTTGCCCTTCTATATCATGATTGTGAAACTCAGGGTTACTTACCCTAAAAAACTTTTCCAATGATTCCACATGTGTTTCCCCGTGGGGTATGTCCAATGTGTTCCATCTGGGTCAGTTGCGAAGAGTTTCTTTTCCAGTCTAGGGACCTGTTTCCCGGTTTCCTTAATCAAGTAGTTCAGGGTGCTAAGATTGGTCCTCATAAACCCTGGGAGCCTTTCTGAAAAGTTGATAACTGGCACCAGAATTTTAGCCTGTGGAAATGTATCCGCAGCTGCATTCAGCATAGAACGAAGCTCGTTTTTCAGTAAAGAGGGGTTACTCTTCCTTCTATTATTAATCCCAAATGATAGGATGACCATAGAAACCGTTTCAGTTGTAGGTGTCTTATATTTGAAGAGGTGTGTTGCATGACTGATATTAGCTCCAGGGTAGCAATCCACTTGAACTCGATCATCTAGGATTTCGGGTAGTCTTCTCATATTTGAGTCGCCAATTATCATAATTTGTCTCTCCGGCGTCAGTGTCCAATTTTTTATTTTGTGATCATGATGGTCGTGTACAGTGAATAACCCTTTTCCTTTTTCGGTTGTCAAGGTTTCTGCTCTTTGGTCCCCCGTTTTTTTTGGTGTTCCCCAAAGGCGTCTATTCAATCTCTGTGGTAGTGGTATTGCAATCGGGGGTTTAGGAGCTGACATGGGTTTCTTGCTGCCCTCCCCATCCCTGGGTTTTGGTTTAATTTGCACAGTGTTTTCTCCCATATCCATTTCTTCTTCCTGTGAGTCAAAAAGCTCAATCAACTCATGTTCTAAGTCCGAGTCTATTATTTCAGGTAATGTTGTCTTCCCTGGATTCCCGAGATCCTGTTCAACTTCCATCATTTCGCCATTGTGTTCACATAGTTTATCTTCCTCCGGCAAAGGGCCAATATCAAAGGTCACATCATCTGTCCACTCATTCTGGTTAGGGTGTTGGGTCTCCCAATCGTCTTGTACATCATCCGTTCCCTCCTTCTTTTGGTCTGTTGATTGTGTCGGATTCTCGTTTATGTTGTGTGTGCAGTCGTCTTCTGCCCGTCGTTTCTTATGTTCCCTGTCCTCTTGGGCTAATGTGTTTTTCTCCGTCACCTTTTGTTTACGTTTGGTTGGTTTGATCATTGTATTCGTGTTTTGATTACTCATAGAGGTTTCCCCCTGTTTTGGTGTTGACGATGTGTTAATCATTTCACGAAGATCTTGTATTGCTGTCGTCAAAGTGTCCGGCTTAATGTGTCTGATATCTCTTTTCACCCAAGTAGTTGCCACTTGTAGCGCCACCTCCCAATCTACCTTCTCCAATCCCGAGATTTCTGTCTTTATGTTTCCCTTTAGGGTTTGGTAGTGTTCTTCCAAAATCTGTATTGTGGTAAACGCCCAGTTTGTACCATTATATTTAATTTTGAGATTAGTAGCTGACGTCGATCTGAGTGGATGGATGCTGGTCGTGATAGATTGTTGAAGTTTATCTATCCCCTTAGGGACTGGTGTAGAAGGACATGAGTTAACATGTCGTAGATGGTGACAAGTTTTAATGTATTTGGAGAAGGCTCTGACCAGTAGTTGGAAATTATTCAACGGCCCTGTCCTCCTCTCCTGTGGTCTACTTCGATTAGCCATATTCGACTGTCTACAGAAGTATAGGAAGAGAAGAAAAGGAAAAAAAAGGGGGGGGGGAAAGAAAAAGGAGAGAGGAAAAAAGGGTTTTTTTTTTAAATTTTTTATATATATATATATAAAAATTGCACTGTATTGGTTTCAGTTCAATTAAGATGTACCAATCATATTCCCATCCAATCTCTATGTAGTTGTGACATTATCATCCTAGATTGTGTCAGCAGGAATAGATTTTGTTCCAGTCAATTAATAATGTAATTTAGAATAATAATCACTGCCATTTGTGTATTAAATCAGTTTAGTTATCACGTGATTTAAATCTCCTAATATAGAATCCTTGGTAAAGATGTCTATCTCTGATATTGGTTCAGTTTTAACCAAAAAGTAGATTCACAAACAATTTTGATTGTATAAAGGCACAAGTGGGTACTTGGAGGGGGTCCGGACGAGGATAAATGGACTTTAGAGGGACCTGTATTCCGAAGGCACTGGCTGGTTAGGGATTGTGAAAGAAAACACAATGATCCCTCCCCACTTCGTCCGACGACTGGGTGGTTGGATGGAGGGCCACTGGGAGTGCACGGGCCACCGCTCGTCATGCGCAGTCCCCATTCCCCTTCCCCGTCCCAGTCCTCCTCCTTCTGTCCCTGAAAAGCGACCATTTTGCTCCCAGGAGACCCTGAGACAGCCCTCTTGGCCACTCTCCATTATATGGTGCCCTTTATTTAAAACATTAGTCCATTGTTTAAATATTATTCTTGGTTTGAATCCATGTTCTTTTTCTTTTATTATTTATTGTTATACTTTCCAATTTATTTATTTATTTTTATTTTTATTTTTTTAATAATAATTTCTTATAATTTCTAATAATTAAATAATTTCTAATATTAAAGGACACATCATCAGTAGTGGACCTTGGAATCATTGGGTGTTTCGGCCATTATCACTAGACACCCTCTTCCAAGGGAGGCCCCGCCCAGGTTGATCAAGCCTTGGGGTGTGTCCATCTATATCAAGTAACATTTATGCATCTATATGCATTTCTGGGGTATTATTATCATTGTTTCATCATGCTCACTTTATTATTACAAGAAGATTTCTGTATTCAGGTCTGCTATTAAACCAAGAGTTTGAAGACTGAAGTCCAATTTTAATCAGATAATATTCCAGTTCCTAAAGGTTTTATATTATCGTTTGATTATAACTATTAAAGAGGTTTATCATTTTAATTGAGTCCGCTTTTGACTTTGTTTTTTTTTTTTTTTGAAGTGGGTTTTGAACCATCATTTTCCAGTAAGGTTAAGTTCAGGATTAATAACCGACTTATGGAATAAGTCGAAATCTGTCTTAGCAACGATTAGCATAGTGTTTGCTAGATGTTAGCCCCTTGCTTTTTTCCTCCTTTTTCATCCAAAGTAGGTCAACACTGGTGGGCGTTCCTTCGCGGAGATCGCCGGCCCCGCCCACTAAACTATTTACCCTCCCCACTAGGAGGGGTTGGCTGTTCAATATTAATTCCCATCAAACTAATGAGTAATAACAAACGTCCCCCCATGAGGGTACCATGGTTTTTTAACCTCCCACCAAACGGGGAAGTTGTCATCTATTTATCTCCTGTAGCTTATCCTAGTTAAAAACGATTAGCATAGTATTAGCTAGATGTCAGCTCCTTGCTTTTTTCCTTCTTTTTCATCTCTTTCATCCAAATTAGGTCAATGTATCCCTATATCCCTTGAGGACAGTTGCCAACCGCTCCTTGGTGTCGTATAATATTAACTGTACCCAGCATAAGATGTCAAAATCAATGTCATATTAAAGTATTTAGTTTCAATGGTCTGCTATGCATACACATAGTCATATATATGGGTAAAGTCCCACGTTCCTAGAAGTGGCCCTCTGGCCCTGTTACATTTTGTATTTTTGTTTCTTTATTTCCATTCATTAGTGTAGCTTTACACCGGTCAAGTATGGCATTAATGATTTAAAATGATCATAATAACTGAGATTAAGTTAAATCTAAAAAAGGTGGTGAGAAAGAGAGAGAGAGAGAGAGAGAGAGAGAGAGAGAGAGAGAGAGAGAGAGGAGAAGGAAGAGTCAGGAGGGGTCCACCAATCTGGCAGGGTCCCCTCCCCGCCGGATCGGGCTGTCACTCATCCTTCCCTCCGTCCCCAAGAGAAGGCCAGACAGAGGGGAGAGAAGAGTGATGAAACTTTGATTTCGTTACATTTCATACACACATGTCTGGGAAACCAACATATTTCTCTATTTATTTATTTAATAATATATTTATTCATTCATTTATTTTTTTCGAGATTAGCTGTACACTAGCCAAATATGGCGTTAATGATCTAAAATGTTCATAATAGCTGGGATTAAATTTATTTTAGTG